GGCGATCGGTAAAATAATCTGTTGATTTGTAGAGTCGGAGGTTTGACTGACATCACAGGCTGTAGTTCCGACGTGAACCACTGACGATTTAGAACTATCGATGTGTAAAGAGCTATGGTGTTTTCGATAGCAAACTCTACAACGATGAGCAGATGAACACAACACACATTTCATTTTTGTGGCCTCTTCAACCTTCAAATTAATGGATGGCTTGTTGCGAATATTTTGAGACGATTTTGATTGATTGAGGTGAGTTTTTTCATTTGACTTGAGTGAAACTGAATTCAAAGCTTTTGTCTGCTTTTCCAGGAAATCGATCAATTGAATGTAGGTTGGAATTTCAACTGACGCGTGTTCGTTTTCAAATTTCGTCTTTGTTGCGGTGTTGACCTTCAGAAGAAGAATATTGAATAAAAGAAAATCCCAATGTTGAACGGGAAACTTAAGCGATCGGAACCCTTCAACATTCTCTTTGAAGGTATCAATAAAATATCGGAAAGATTTGGACGATTCATCATGAACAGGTTTTAAATTTATTATCTTGTTAAAATAAAGCGTAGCCAAATGACGCTTGTTCTGATATCTTCCTTTTAAGGTGGTATAGGCAATGGAATAGTTTTCATTTGTGACGGGAAGGTCTGTTAAGAAACACGAAATAAAAGAAGTAAAATTGTCTTTCGCGAATGTGTATTGTCACTCACTACCCTTCTTATAACAATTTAAATTTGACTTGCGCGCGTGAACGTTCTATCGATAAGGCCGATAATGCATCGATAACAAACGGTTAAACTTTCTAAAACAGAACAAACTGTTTCTATTATTTGATAAAATCGTTTTACTTTTTCCACAACCGGAGATGGAATGGCATTAAGGGAAAAATTGTTTGAAAGAAGAAACCCTAGTCGCCACAAAGTTGAGCGACCAAACCAAGGGGGAAACAATAAGCACATACCTGGCTGTGGTCCTCAAGACGAAAACAATGGAAGTGATCCCGCCTCTTTGTGTTTTTTTTTCTTGCTATGAAGCCAGAGAGTTCAGTTATTGTGAAATGTAACCAAGAGAGTTGACTTCCGAAGAAATACCCTGAAGGGTGGTTCCGGAGAGGAGAGGAAGAATTTTTCTTGGATAGCATTGGCTAATTAATTGTAGTTATGAGAATTATCCATGTTGCAAGTAAAATTGAAATTTGAATATGAAAATAAAAAACAAAAGATAAACGTCGCACTTGCAGAGATTATTTAATATAAATCGGCACCGGTTTCAAAGTTTATAAGTTCATCTTCAGCCGAAAACTACACAGAGAATTAAAAACCATTATAAATTAAATCTACCTAATAAAATATAAAATACTCACTGTGAAAAAGCGAAGCTAACAGAATCTTTAGAGGTTGAGATGTCAAAGCGTGGTGCATTAAAAATTTTACTGAGAACTGAAAAACAATGCAAATTAGAATAAAATTGGTCAAACAACTACAAAAGCAACTTACGAGTTAAAAGTGATGGTTAAATATAAGAAATTTTTGCAAAGTTACAATAAATGAAGCGTTGGAAGTTAGACGTGACCTTCTTGGCGGAGCGAGAAGAAGAGACTGATGACCGAAAACGAGAAATAATGAAACGTAATAAACCGGAAAACAAAAATTTAAATTTTTAAATTGAAATTATTTAAATATGAAAAGATAGGTTTATGGAAGAGTTGAAGTTGTTCCTTCATTAGTTGATTATTATTATTATTTTTATGCTTAGTAATTTCTAAAATTTCAAGAAAATCTAATTTTATACCTTTATTACACGAATGTAAAGTTCAACTCCTCCATAATCTATATTATGTCTAGTTTCTATGTGGTGTTTGAAAATATTAGAATTTGTTTTAGTCTTGTGTTCTCGGATTCTTGTCTCTAGTCTCCTCCCCTTTTGACCGATATACGAATTAGAAAATATATTGTGAAATTTAGTAGTCAAAGCATTAAATTGTAGAGGTTTATAAATTAAAGCATCATTATTATGTTTTGTGAATAAAGGATCTTTCTGTATACGTATCTTATTAAACAGATGAGTGATCTTACCAATAGGGAAACCATTGTCACGGGCTAGTTCAAAAATGAAATTAGTTTCTTTAATCCTATTGTTATCAGAAAGAGAACTATATGTTTAATGATAGTATTAAAATCTTTAATATTATTTTTGTTATCAAAATTCGAATCAAACAAATTAAAAACTATTTCAAGGGTGTAATCAAGTGGAACAGTTGGTAAAGATTAGTTACGTCAAAAGATACTAGCAAACAAGTATCAATATTAATATTTCTAGTTAGAATTATGAACTGAATTGAATTTTTAACAGAAAAGGCAGATATGAAATTAATTTGTTTGAAAATATTAGACTTTTAAAACCTTAAAACCGGTACCGATTTATATTAAATAATCTCTGCAAGTGCGAAGTTCATGTTTTATGTTTTATTTTCATATTCTAATTAATTGTAGTCCCAGAATCCGATCTTCTGACCCACGAATTTCCGCTTATCTGCGCAAAAAATGTTTCATTAAAATTTTATTTGTAAATAAATAAATTATATTCTCAAAATTAGATATTTTTCATTATAACATTCCATATCATATTAATAAAAGATTCTATAAAGTTCAGTTTGCATGTAGTTTTCACAGAAATTTTATATTACCTTATGTGCTCGAATCTAAGCCCCACCAGATTCTAAGACCCATTTTCGAATGATTATAATAATATTACGATAAATATGATTCGTCTTACATTCGAATACTATTCACATCAAATTGTAGCTAAATTTTTTAACATTAGGAAAATGTACAAAAAATAAAATGTTTATTGTTAAGCCATTTACGGTCAAGATATATCAACTTACGAAAAAAAAATTCGCCTTACGTCAAAGAAACGTGAAAAAATGTTAAGAAATGGTGCATAAATGCATTAATGGTCGTAAATGGCTTGAAATTATTGAAACGTTCTATAATATTAAACAGTCAAAATTCCATTTTAAATGAGATTAGCAAAAAAAATATATCAATTTTATATTAATGGAAAAACTAGATAAAACTTCTTTAACTTGCTTCAAAACTTTATTTAATGTATAGTCGTATCGATTTCGGGAAACACTCCCATCATCAGCGACAAGCTGTATACAAAAAGAAAATGAATGTAAACTTGAAATACAATTATAAGAACAATAAAAAAAAAATATAAATACCGATTGGTAACTTTAATTTTAGGAGATACACCCAACACGGACGTACGTATAAGTATACGTGTGTGTGTATATTCGGTGTCGTTAATTGGGGGATAAACAAGCGTAGGGGTAATGCACAAATTGAATCGTTCATAGATTGTTGAGAGGCGAAGTTGGTCGAATCGCTTTGCAGTTAACCCTAGCAAAAAAAAACTAAGATGTTGTTTACTGTAGCGGAAAAGGTACAGATTATAAAATGGTTTTATGGTGGCAATTCTGTAGCCCAAATAATTAATTTGTTTCCTGTGGCCTATGAAAACAGATCAATTCCTAGTCGCGGAACAATTTCAAATATTATTAAAAACTTTGAGCGACATGGATGTGTGTCTCCACAGAAACACAAATTACGAAGGGGTAAAAGAGATGAGTTACGTGATACGATGATATGTGCTGATGTTGAACGCAATAAAAATCAGTCAAGCAGACAAGTTGCGGAGACGTTTGCTATCAGCCATGTTGCCGTCCTAAAAACATTAAAGAAACACGGGTACAGGTCGTACAAGGTACAAAAAAGTCAGGAACTCTGCGAGAACGATAATATTACAAGGGCGGAATTTTGCTTTACTATGATGGAAATGGCCAACGGAAATGTTGATTTTATAAAAAACATTTTATTTACCGATGAATCTACATTTCCTTTGCATGGTCGTCATAATCCCAGCGTTGCTCGATATTGGAGTCGTGACAATGAACACAAAGTTTATGCGGCTCGTACACAATATCTCCAAAAATTAAATGTTTGGGCTGACTTAGTAGGTGACCATATTATCGGTCCGGAAATTTAAATGGTCATAAGTATTTAAACATGTTGCAAAATGACGTAATTGGAAGTATCTGGTTCCAACAAGATGGTTGCCCGGCTCATAACAGCCGGCAAGTTAAAGAGTATTTTAACGCACAATTTCCAAATCGTGTAATATCTATTACACGGCGGAACGTTAACTTGGCCGCCTAGATCACCAGATTTAGCCCCCAATGATTTTTTTCTATGGGGATATTTAAAATCGAAAATTTATGGTTTTGATGAAGAAAGGACAACCAATCTGGATGACTTACACACAAAAATTCGCAATTGTATACAGGATATTAGTCCCGATATACTAGCGAATGTAAGGCCAACTTTTTACGATAGATTGGGCTATTGTTTAGCACAGAATGGTGGTTTATTTGAACACCTAATATAAAAAATATTTTATTTTTATAGTTTTTTGTTTTATTTGTTGTTTTACAAAGTTTATTTCAGTTACTTACGAATTGTTTTTATTTTTAGAATTAAGAATTTGCTTTGTCTTATTTGAATTTCATTTATTATATTAGTTATTATTTTGATAATATTTCTTATCATTGAACGATGTCAAACGACTGACTTCTCTCCGATCCGAAGAGCAAATAGCATTCCTTAACAAAGGATATAAATTTGCTTTAGTTAAGGAACCTAATTTATACGAAGCTGCCATAGATTTCGACGTCATTATTAAGCAACATAGTCAGGCTAACGAAATTAAAAGTCATCTTATATCTTTTCTTAAAAAAACAGAAAAGAGATTTAAATGTGAAAAGCATTATAATGAGACCAATGCCAGTCATTGGAAAATTATGATGCATCGCAAAAACCATGCAATTCAATGCGTGTTGGCTCGTGTATTACAACTCGTCGATCCACTTTCACTTCTTTTATGTTGTACATGTCGCATACGTAAGAAGACCGTTGCTCTTTCAAGCTATCGGTTAAGATATCATCCTACTTAAGGTTGTGTTTCCAAAGTGCTTGCATTAACAACTTTGCCCTGATGTGTATTGGACCCAATAAGCCTAGGGGATCGAAAATCCTGCTGATTATTGATAAGACTTCTCTCTTGGTAATGCTTTTATTCGGATCGTAATACATGGTAGAGTAATGTAAATAATCTTGTTGGGGATTCCACAGCAATCCTAACGTTTTGTTAAATTCGCCATCACTCAAGTTTAAAGTTTTAAATGTAGTTTGATCTGAATCTTCGTGATTCAGCAATTCATCAGCTTTTGATACCCATTTCCTTAGATTAAATTTTGCAGTGTCTAATATTTTTGTGATGGTTTCCATCAATGACTTCGCCTCTTGTATTGTATCAGCTCCTGACAATACATCATCAACGTAAAAATCGTCTCGAATTATCTCTGATGCTGTTGGAAACACATTTTTGTAGTCAATAGAGAGTTGCTTCAAACATCGAGTAGCCAAAAATGGAGATGACGTCAAGCCATATGTCACAGTATTTAATTCGAAACACCTGATTCGACCGCAACTTGTATCTCGCCATAGAATTTTCTGATATTTTCGCTGATTTGGGTTGATTAGTATTTGTCGATACATTTTCTCCACGTCCGCACTAAAAACGTATTGGTATTTTCTGAATCGTAATAAAATATCCAGTAGGTCGCTTTGCACCACTGGACCTTTTAATTGTACATCATTAAGGCTTAATCCAGAGCTTGTTGCTGCCGAACCATCGAACACTGTCCTGAGCTTGGTTGTTACACTAGAGTGCTTAATAACTGCATGATGTGGAAGATAATAACCTTCACTAGAATCGTACTCATGTATTTCTGACATATGTCCTAGATTCTCATATTCATGCATGAAAGCTTCGTATTGGTCGCGTAATTGTTCATCGCAAAGCAGTTTTTTGTCTAACATTGTAAATCTTTTCAGTGCGGTAGAACGGGATTCGCCCAATTCTGTAACGTTTTCTGAGAATGGAATGTTCACTACAAATTTCCCATCTGTAGTTCGTTCCGTTGTTTGAATGAAAATTCTTTCACATTCGTCTTCGGTCTGTTGATCTGTTTTCTCATCGATCTTTACCTCCTCTTGCTCCCAAAACTTTTGTAGTTGTTCTGATATAGCACAAAGTGTGTTTGTTTTAATTGTTCCCATGGCTGGAATCATACCGCCACCGAGGATATAACCCAGTTTTGTTTTGTACAAAATAGGTATTCGCTTACCTAAGCTTATGAGATGACCTTCCAGTACGTCCCAGAACACTGCACTACCCAATAACAAGTCCACTTTTCTACTTTTGAAAAACTCATCGTCAGCCAATTGTGTACCCTCTGGGATATTCAGTTCATTTTTGTTGAATGTTGTGGCAGGCAGTTGATCGGTTATTTTGTCAATTACAAGACATGTTATTGCTTGATGATAATCGCTATTTAATGATTGTATATTCAGATCTACCATGGCATCAATTGTTGTACCTTTAGCACCCAACCCATTCACAGTCATATCGCGTCTCGATTTTCGTTAAAATACATAGCACTCTAATTTTAGCTGAAATCAACTTAGGGATGTCGAAGTTTTATCTACACCAAATTTCAACTCAGCAACTCACGGCTAAGGGGTGGATTTTTATTATTTTTTCACCTCACATAGCGAATTCCACCTATTTTTATTAGGGGTTGACATCCCTTCATGTGTAGCACTCTAATTTTAACGAAAATCAACTTAGGGATGTTGAAGCTATGTCCACACCAAATTTCAACCCTGCAACTCACGGCTAAGAGGATGGTTTTATTTTTTTTTTAAACCAAGACGTTTTTACCCTATTTTATTAGCAGTTTCAAAATTTATTCTGGAATTCTGGGATAAACAACACGTAGTGACCTTCGTAACATTCTTTTAACACAACATGATCATATTTTCTATGTTCAATCCGTTTCACTGTGTGTTTCAATCTTAGCGACAGATTTGCGACCGTGGTGGAATTGACAAAATCCGTCGCTGAAAAGTCGTCGCTAACTTCACTCCAGTCAGCCAGCGAGCTACCGTTCAGCTACCGTACAGCGACTATTTTTTATGATGCGGAACTAGAAATCGTAGAACGACCAAACCGATTTCAAACAATTACTAGTATCGTGAAACAACCGTTGAACGATTCTAAAGATGATTATTTTATAATTAACATGTTTATTAACCAAAATCATCTCGATCGTCGATTTTGTTAATAATATTTTTGTAATTTTTCATATAAATAAGGGTATCTTTAGAGTTATGTTATAATTTTTTTCGATAATTATTTTTAATTAATTGTTAATTACTCCGCTATTTCTTAATCAATTTTATCCGCTCAAAAACTGGATTTAGTTAATTTTGTGCCCGCATCCGATAGCGCGGTTAGAATTTTGCTATTGTTATTAATTAGCGTCGTGCATTATAATTTAGTTTTTTTACGCGGAAAAATCCAGTTTTCACCCCGAAAAAAGTATAAATAGCCGGCCAAAATATCAGTCTTCAACAGTTTTGATCAGTCTCCGACCGTTCTGGATTAGTCTTCGACAGTCATCCACAGTCTCCGACAGTCTTCAAGAGTCTTCAGCCGTCTTCAGAATGTCTTCAAGAGTTCGCCAGACTTCACCGAAAATTCTCCGAGGAGCTATACTGCAAGATATCCGATGAGTTTTGGAAATAACCGAATTTCATCGTAAGTTTGTTTTTGGTCATGCAATTGTGGGACTTTGATTTTATTTTGTGAAATAAATTTTCATCCAATCTCACGACCTGGTGTTGCTGCGAGTTTTTCGCAACACTTTCCCGACCTGGTGTTGTTGCGAGTTTTCCGCGACTTTCCCCGACCTGGTGTTGCTGCGAGTTTTCCGCAACACTATCCCGACCTAGTATTGCTGCGAGTTTTCCGCAATACTTTCCCCGACCTGGTGTTGCTGCGAGTTTTCCGCAACACTTTCCCGATCTGGTGCTATCGTAAGTTCTCCGTAGCATTTTATCCGTACCAATTATTTCCTTATTAATAATTGTTTCAATTATATCCGACATTTGACTCCCACAAGATTGCATTAGACCGAACATACACCGATTGTATATATGAATAAAGATTTTTTTTTTTTTTAATTTCTGTAAAACCTTTTTTTTTATTTTGTTAATAAATTTTGATTTTATTTCTTAATTTTAAAACGCATATTTATTATTTTTCACCCCCTCTTAAACACCCTGAATCTCCGACTGTAATCCCCAAAAGCGGAAAAAGGAGGCGAAAGAGTTCTTTAACTCTCTAAACATAAGGTGGCGCCCGAGACCGTTAACATCCCGAACATAAAAAAAAGGGTACCCCTTTCCTAGGACCGAACCAGGAAAGGACGTCGCAATAAATTTAAAACAAATAGCCAAGTGGTCGGACAAGCATGGATCAATAACACTGGACAGATAAAGACACTTGCGAATATTTGTGAAAACGTCCAAACCTGCATCGTTTCTACTATTCTCATAATTTGTCCTGACCAAGCCATAAGATGCATAAGGAACTGAGCATCACCGCCTCTCTACATACTCGCCGGTCAGGAATATATTCCTATTCAATATTCCTATTCAACATTAGTTTGCTCAATACCATGTCCAATCTTGTCATAAAAGAGTCAAAAGTCCTCGTGGTGGAGGAGAGCTATATACATTTACAATTTGTATGTCATTACAATTAATCCCTGCAACCTCAAAGTCCATCTCATTTGAGTGACTCACAATATCAAACGACAACGACCTGAGGGATACTGTTTCTCTAGCATAAATAGCGACTCCACAATGTGAGTGCAGTGATCTGTAAAAACCGGAGACTATTTTAAAATCACTTATCTTTACAATGTTAGATTCATTTTCATTTAACCAATGCTCGTTTAGACATGAAATACTATTAGCCAAAATCGATTCTAAATTCATCGCTAATTAAATTTCAAAATTAAAACCAATAAGGAACGATAAAAATATTTTTTAATTTATTTATTGTATCAGTGCTACAGCTGTTTCGAACGTAGAACATTCTTCTTCAGACACGACGTCAATAAGTTAACAACGAAGAAGTATGCATTAATATCACACCCAGTCACTTGTTGACAAGTTTCCAGGGGGGGGCAAGATTATCAAATATAAATTCAATAAAAAATCTTATCATTTAAAAAACCTAAAGGATGCGGTAATTATTGAAGTATTAATTTTATCTTTAAAGTGTTAATGTAATTAAGTGTATTCAACATCGTTAAAATTCTTTAATAAAATCCTTAGAACGAGAGGCAAAGTGAAACGTTTCAAAATAAACCAAAAACAAGTAAGAAAAACTGAACACTACACTTTAGTTGAAGAACACACACTTCATACTGTAATAATACTACTTTTGTATTATAAACTATTAATTTATTGATTTACAACGTTACAACAAAATGGCTGTTCGCTACTTCGTAGACGCTAGAAGAATGGTGACCGCGTCTTTCCGCGAGTCATCGTATTGGCGTGGTATTGCATAGGCAACTTATATAACACGCCCTTTTTTTTTTAATTACAATAATAATTTTTAAACTTAGATGGCGTTCGAACAATTCGCCCGCTACGAGTTCTTTTAATATCGGCTTCGGTTGATAGAGATGAGGATGCGGTGTTGCTTATAGGAATATTATTATTTTCCACTACCTCCTCCTCCCTATTTACATTTTGTACAATATTATTATCGTTATTAGAATGATCTATATCTATATTGTTATCTAATACAGTGTCTAACATTTTTGTAAAATCTTCGTCTGACACAATACATTCTTTTAGTTTCTTAAGATATTTTCTATTTCTAATATAAGTTTTATGGTTTTTATTCAATCTAACTAAATAAGATCGAGGTCTTGTTTTATCAATTTCAATTACCATTCCGCTACACCAAGTTTTATTATGTGGATCCTGAACCATAACATGGTCATTAACATTAACATGTTCTAATTGTTTTGCATGTTTATTGTAATAGAATTTTTGTGTACATTGATGGGTTTTTAATTTGTTTAAATGAGTTGTTATGTCATAACGTGGTGTTAACAATTCTTTCTTTATTGGTAATAAACCCTGAATCTTTCGTCCGTAGAGTAGTTCTGCAGGAGAATATCCATTGTTATAGAGTGGTGTACTTCTATATTCTAGAAGTGTTATGTATATATCTTTGTTATAATTTATAGCTTTCTTTAAAAGTTTTTTAATGATTTGCACATGACGTTCTATGAACCCATTGCTTTGTACATAACGTGGTGTACTAGTTTTAAACGTAATTTCACAATCACTCAAGAAATTTTGCATTAAGACGTTATTAAATTGAGGTCCATTATCGCTATACAGAATTGTTGGTTTTCCGTGTCTTGAAAAGATTGTTTTTAAACATTTGATTACGGGTTGGCTCGTTAAATCAGACATTGTAACTATTTCTTTAAATTTTGAAAATGAATCAACTACTAAGAGGTAATTTTTACCATTGTAGTGAAATATATCAGTTGCAACTATTTCCCATGGAAATTCTGGTATCTCTTTATTTATAATGTCTTCTTTTTGATAACTATTTTGAAATTTTAAACACGTACTACAGGCTTGAATCATATTTTTAATATCTAAAGTCATGTTTGGCCAAAAAACTGATTCGGCTGCTCTACCTAACGTTTTTGTGATTCCCAAGTGACTGTAATGTAATTTTGTTAATATGTCCCTACGCAAAGATTTTGGTATTATAATTCGATTACTCAAAAACAAAAGTTCATCAACTTCCACAATCACGTCTCTATATTGCCAGTATGGTTTGAGTGTATTATCCAAAGTCTTTTTAACTTGTGGCCAACCATCTTTAACCACTTTTAATAAGTCTCGTAACTCTTTATCTTTGCTTGTTTCAAACTTAATAATTTCCAAACGTTTTGATCAACATAATTGATCATATTTATTTGTTTGTCTATTTCCGTATCATTTATTTCAAAATTTGGATCGTCATAGCTATTACGGGATAAGTGATCCGCAAAAAATAATTTTTTTCCTGACTTGTATTTTACTACGAAATCATACGTTTGTAAATTCAGTAATAAACGTTGTAATCTAAAAGGAACTTTGTCAAAAGGTTTTTTGAATATTGACTCAAGAGGTTTATGATCTGATTCTACGGTAAATTTAGTTCCAAATAGATATTGGTGAAATCTTTTACATCCAAAAAGTATTGCTAATGTTTCCTTTTCTATTTGCGAATAGTTTTGTTGTGAAGGTGTTAATGATTTTGAAGCATAAACTATAGGAGCATCATCCTGTAAAATAACTGCCCCCATCCCATCTTTACTGCTATCGACACTTAGTACTATAGGTTTGTTTCTATCATAAAAATGTAATACTGGACTGTTCATTAACAGTTCTTTTAAGTTTAAGAACTCTTTTTGGTGAATATTTGACCACTCAAAAATAATGTTCTGTTTTAACAACTGTCTCATATTGTGAGT